TCGAGGCCCCAGACTCACTTTGCGAGGTCCCATTTCCACCACCACCAATCTTGTCCAACAGCTTCTGAAGCCTCGGTTTCTGGCCAGATGGGGGTCCCTCTCCTTTCTTCGCCGTTTCTTTCCTCGGGCACTCTCGAGCTAGATGTTGTGTAGCTCCGCACGTGAAGCACCTCCTCTCCTGGTTCGGTTTATCACCAATCTCCAGTTGATGCGCCCATTTGCACGACTGTCCCCTTCGACATCCAGACTCGGTGAGGAAGTATCGGCAGGGACCCTTCGCTGACGTCGTTGGCGAATCTCCCTTCTTGTCCTTGTCCTCCCCTTGGAGAGCCTTCACTGCCAATGGTCTACCTCCTTGATTTCCAGGCCTCAAGGTACTCGATGACGGTCGGACTCGATGCATGAGCTGCTCAAGTTCTGCGAGTAAATGCTCAGCGTACGTCCGAACAGTCTCCTCATTGGGGATGGTATCAAGCTGCAAGGTATTCTTGACCAAGGCACATCTGAATTGCAGATCCGGTTGTTGAGTGAGGATCCGCTTGCTAAATTTGTTGATGCCCTTCATGAGGATGATCGCATCAGGAAGGTTCAGGCCAATGTCGGTGGCCCTCCTGAGCCAACGCATCCAGCGTCGGAGTCCCATAAAGGCTTCGCTTGGCGACCCTGCTTCTGGCGGATCTTCAAGTTGCCGCAGGATGATGGTGCATTCATGAGCACCCCCTGGTTGATAGAGGACCATGAGTTTGCTCACCAGCCCCAGCGGTGACAAAGTCCTCGTTGCTACCAGTTCCTCCTTCACTGTCGTGGGAACTGAAGACAGCAGCATGCTGATGGCCCTCTTCTCCACTCGAGTCCACTTTGGCTTTTGCAACTCAGCAGACGGCTCGATCTTGGATAAGGCCCTCTGGATTGGGCGAAGCTTGATGTACTGCTTGTACCAGGTCCTTGCTTCGCTCACCACCAACTCCCACCACTCGCCCGACGAGTCACTAAGATCTGTCATTGCCGGTTCCACCATAGTGAGCCAGTCAGCGAGGTCGATGGGAGCCGTATCGGATGGCTCTGCCAGGGCCGGAAGCGTGGCCGTTCCCGGCTTGACCGACTCAAGTCCTTCTTGCTTCTTGTCCTTATCGACCAGGTAGGTGATCAGCATAGACATCACATCAGCCATGCCACCACTGCGTTCTCTCGATTGTTCTTCCCGAACATTAGCAGTTGAAGATCGACCAGGCTGCTCAGCTGTGGTTTTCTTCTTTGGCTAACCCACACCTTTCCCGGTCCCTTATCTCCCTTCCGGTTCGAAGCCCTTCGCCCGAGATGCCACCAAGCCCTCAGATTAACCTCCTCCCTAACGTGCAGTTTTCGGACCTTGAGATCTCGACCTCTCTCGTTGTCCTTGCCCCCGACCACCTCGCTTTGCTGGCGCCGGAATGACCGTCCCCATCAAGGATTGGAGCTACTCGAACTGTTGCATGGGAATCAACTCATACAGCCGGCGTCTTTCCACCTCCAAATCTGTCTCCCTCAGAGGTTCGTCGATCGTCAATTCCAGCTGACGCTTCACAGGCTCATCGCTTTCTGGCGTTCTGAAGGCCTGCTGCTCCAGTTCACGTTGTAGATCATGGACCTTAGCTTCCAGGCTTGCCCTCTAGTACTTCATGGCGTCCATGAGCTCTGCCTGCTGAATCTATAGTTGTTGATTCTCCTGCTTCAATATCGCCAACATGGTCATCATCTCCTGTGGATTCGGCGGATCAGGGCCACAAGGATGCAGCTGAACTTGGCATCCTCCTTAATGCGGTATAGGTCCCCTCCTCTCTTAGAACATACAGACCTCTTCCTCCCGGTCCGTTCCCTTGGATCTGAGCCACCGATTATTCTCTAGGTTGGGGAAGTTGTTGCCCGTCGCTGTCACTTTCAGGCTCTTATATTTCAGGTACCCGTGGTTCTCTTGGTCGTCCACGTCTTCGGTCATTTATTACATAATCGTTCACCAGTGCCGGGGATAGTGTCCCCGTCGTCGTACTCGTCTGTGGAGGCCCTCTAACCGGACCTTCCTCCTTCGGCAAGAACGCGAGTCTCTCCTTCTTCACCTCTTCTGGTGACCTGTTTCCCATGCCAGGCTACCAAATACTCTACCTCGGGACTTAAGCATATAAGTAAGGAGCTTAGCTCTACACTTCATAAAATCCCTTCAATTGCTCAGGCGTAAAAAGCGGGATCATCGGCATCAGGGTCGTAGGTAATCCCTTCGGACCTTCAAGGGTTTCTTCCCCTTGCTCTTCACCGTCCTCCAACGCCAGCTAACCCTCCTCCAGCGGCTGCTCTTGTAGTTAAAGGCCTTCTTAATCGTTATCTTCCCCTTCTCCATCATCGCCTAGCTGTCGCCTTCTTCTACGTGCTATCATCGATATAGCGCGGAGCCGCGGAACTACCCGGCCTTGCCTCCGGGTCTTATACCTATCACCTTGGACTCATAATCTACAAGGTTCAACGCTCCTATTTTCGAGCTTAAAAGCGGCTATCAAGTGTACACTTCTCGTTTTGTGTATTTCATCCATTTTAGACGTACATGTATAATAAAAAATTCCTTAATTAAATATACAATAATATATTCGGATATATACTCGTATAATTCTTTTAATACGAGATTTAAATTATATAAGACCGAAATCTACAAAAACCCAAGCCTCATATTACTTTACGGCGGATATATAAACAAAATAAAAAATTTTACCGCTCCCAATCTCCTCCGAAATAAAAATATCAACTTAAAACCGAATTCTCCAGCAAAAAACAAAAAAATCAAATGCAATAAAACGCATATAAAATAAGCAAGAAAAAAAATAAAAGACGAAATAATAAAATTCCCGAATTATTCGCGACCATTTAAGTTTAAAATAACACTTAAAACACATTTTTGTTTTTTATTAAAACACATTTTCATTACTATAAATAATTCATTTATTAAAATAAATAAAAATCTAATTTAAAATAACATATTCTTAATTATTATATATGGCAAATTTTAATAATTTAAATCAATTTAATATTAGTTTGAAAATAATATATACAATGAAAATCTTTTGGCCCAAGCCAGCAAACCGCAGCATCATGCTCCTGGCACCCCCTTGCCGGCCATTACACGCCTCACCGTACTTCAGGGTATTTCGTGAAGCATTTTTGGAAGGGGATGATCCAATCGTGCATGTTCATGGCTCTCAAAAGATCCTGGCCACTTCCACGAACACTTGGGAATATTCACCTCTTCGCAAAAATTGAAGGCCCTTTTTGACAGGACTTTAAAAACCCCTAAACCCTTTCATACCCTTTCCATTGGAGCCCTTCGTTTGCATGTGAGTTTCTACACGATCAACTGATGTCTTGACCGACCGGATTGAGATGGTTGACAATGGTATCTGTATATTCTTTTTTGCATAGACATGTTTTCTTTTTCACTTGCTTTGATAGGACAAGACTCGCACTTGGACCAAGCCTTCATGAGTTTTGCCCACACAAACGAAACACATATGTTTTGAAGTTGTTAGCCTCTTTGACCTTGCAACACATGAGTGTCGGACACTTTTACTTATGACTCTATGACCCACAAAGGACGTGAACATCATTTGGGTGGGCCCTTATCGGTTTTCAGCTTTTGGCCTCGTAATTCTGTCGGGTCCGACGCCATGGTTCTCCTCACCTCGATGCTGTTCGCCTCACCGTCTGCGACCGACCTTGCGACCAAACACCCGAGATCATCGGCGACTCGGGGTGGACGGTCAAACAAATGAAACAGGTCAAACGTCTCCACCATATACTGACCTCCTCCGTTTCGGAATGTGAACCGAGCCGATGTGGACGGACTAGTGGCACTTGTTACGAACGAAGCGATGCACTTGTTTCTACTAGCTTGTTGTTACTACTAGTAAGGCACTTGTTTCTAATCAAACCAAAAGCAAGGATTTTATACCTTTGCTACTGGATCCTGGGTCACTTGATGCCATCGATTCCTTTTCGAGGTCCCGATTTCTCGGGCCCTTTCCGATGGCGCGCGGTTGCGATCCAAGAGTGATCGTGGGAGGTCACAGTAGAAGACATTGTGTTCTGTAGAGTCATGTAGAGTCATTGATGAGTAATACCCCCCCCTGATGAATCTACATGACTCCTGATGAATCATTGATGAAAGTGAGTCTTAGACTCAACAGCGACGTGACGTGACGGCCCCGTTGAAACGCTTGATGAACGTGACGTCACACATGAGACGTCCTGAGACCTGAATCGACATGAATCGACGGCCGTGTCTTGCCTGAGATTAGATGGCCAGTGACTTCTGTGCTTCGCCCCAGCAGTTTCTCGCGTTCGTAGCGGTGCAGTGGACGTTTGAAACAAAACCAGAGAGGACGCTCCACAGCCTAGGAACAAGAAGCTACTATATAGTAAGAAAGGGCATCGCTACGAACGAAGAAAGGATGCTACGAACGGCTTACGACAGGAGCAAAGGACGCTACTATATTAACAATACCACACCCGTTCGCCGTACTGGGCACGGCATCTTTCGCTCGCTGTTCTGAACCTCCCAGGCGCATCGTGCTGCGTGGTGCAGAGCGTGCAGAGCCCCGCCTTTTGCAAGGCTGCTTTTGGGCTACTTTGGCCCTTTCACCGGGCTTTCTGACACTTCAGTCTCATTGCAATAGGCCCACAAGTTGACCATCTGCAGTTTTTTCCGCTTTGATTGCCATCCGACCACATGGGTAGCATGATAAGAGACCATTCTTGGCTCTTCCAACACAGAGGCCGGAGTAAAGCAGCCAAGTACATACTCCCAAGGGCTCATATCACAGTAGTTGAACACTTGGGATTCTTCCACGCCATCACATGCGCTGCTATTGCAATGCCGGAAGCATGCCAAATAGTCCTGCTGAAACTTTTTCTTCCTTCGTGTGTCAACCAAAGCATCCCAAAAATTCTCTTGGTCATCCATATGAGGACGGTCATTGCACCATTTCACACCTTTGTCAAAAACCTGTTGCACAATCTTTTGCTTCCTACCACCTGCTACATAGTAAAAGCCAGTGTTTGCCTTTATGGGCTCTTGGTGGTAGGCATCAGGGTTGAAGTTCTGAATCTTCTGGTTGCCGGGCTCAATTTTTCGCCCATAGATGTACTCGTATTTTCCAGAACGAATCATGTTTCCAAGCGTCAAAGATGGCAAAAATGGATCGCTCTTGAACACATTGTCACTATCAGAGAAAACAATGTCCAGGCTGGTTGCTCTCAACACATCAGCGACAGTGCG